AATCCTATTTAGAATAGGATTCCAGTTAGTGTCGTGGCTATTGTGTCCGAAATGAATGCCGAGAATTTTGATATTATTTTTGATATACATTTTATCCGTATCTGGCACGTGGGCAGACATCGCCCCCGTTGTAAAGATTTCTGTTTTAGCTTTATTTATTTTTGATCCCGAGGCCTTCTCAAAGTTACTCAACTCGTAATCTAGGTTTGGGAAGGACCCGGGATCGGTGATAATGACGGACAAATCGTCTGCATGCTGAAAGGTTTTTACCTGTCGGTGGTAATTCGGTATATCTATACCCTTGATATACCGATTGTTGGAGATATTAAGGGCCAAAGGGTGTATCGCGAGTGCGTATAGAGCCATCGATAGAGGGCAGCCTTGTTTCACACCTCTTTCAAGGGTAAAGCAATTCGTGAAGGCTCCACGCACTTCGCAGTACACTCTTAGGTCCTTATAAAGAATGGAGATCCACTTGATTATACAAGGTGGGAGCCCCACCCTTTCCAGAAGGGTGCTGAGGTAGGTCCTGTTGAGTCTATCAAAAGCTTTCTCTTGGTCGTAGGCCATCAGGGCCACCCCCAGGTCCTTCTGGGTGACATACTCATATATGTAGTCAATCGAGAGTAGGTTATTGATGATTGATTTGTCTTGGCCTGCTCCCGATTGAGTATCATACACAAGTAAGTTTAAACTAGGTTTTAACCTATTGGCTATCACCTTTGCTACTATTTTATAGTCTACCGTCAGCAGAGAAATCGGCCGATAGTTCTTCAGATCATTTCTTGAGCCCTTATTCTTATAATGTATGGAGATGATAGATGTTCTCATAGTTTCAGAAAGTTGTTCATGTAAGTATATATTGTTTATTACTTCCGACAAGTCATCCTGGATGACTTCCCAGAATTTCAAATAAAACTCCTTTGGGATGCCATCAATTCCAGGAGACTTGTCGTTCTGAAACTCTGTAAGGGCTCTATGTATTTCTTGTTTAGAAATGATCTGATTATCTATGGTCGATGCCTCCGCTGGCGGTAGAGGTGTAATGATGGAATTATCGAGGTACTCGTCGATGACAGGTTGTGGTATAAGGTCGGCAGAGTAGAGCTTTGAGTAGAATTTCTCTACGATGTCTATGATCTCTTCTCTGCCTTCCCTGACGATACCGCTGTCATCGACGAGTCTCTCAAGTTGTTTTCC